TTTCCTCACCATATTTCTCACCACTTTTCTTTTAACCACACTGCCGAACCCCCTCACGTTGTAAGAAAGCAGCTTCATTTATAAGGGTTTCTGAAATAATTGACAGAAAAGCCTACCTTAGTGGCTCACGAACAAACCCCTGCATGTCCCTCTCTTCCATTCGCCTGAACCTTTCTAAGATCTGCTCTTCTTGATTTTTGGTCTGAATTCCTAGCTTGCTCCCGAAATCCAGCACCTTCTTCGCTTCCTCTGCAATCATGCCTTCTTTGATTCTTCTATTGTTGTATAAGATGTCACTGTCCGATAGAGATCCGATTGGGGATTCACCACCGAAGTTGACCGGCTGGATGGTTGCTTTTCTCCTCCTTCCACGTTTTGTCCCAGTTATCAGCTTTGTTAATCCAGCCCTCGTTTCAAGCGGTAGAGAAGGGCTCTTATTAGAGCTTTTGTCCACTTGAAGCCCGCCTTGCTCCTGGTCACCCCTTTTTGTTTTATTCTTAACCAACTGGGCTTCATTCTTGCTGTCTTCTGGGCTTCCAAGTTGGGCCGTTTCTTGGATTACTTGCACTTCAGAATCCAGGTCTGTACACAATCTGTTGAGCTGATTTATTCCCCTGCTTTCCCGCTCCTCTCTCTGTTCCCCACACTCTTGATTTGATAGAGTGCCGTTGCAAAACTTGCCCATTTCAGCAGATTTCTTTGAGCCGCGCACTATGTCAGAGCAATTAATGCCATTGACTCTTTGGGTAAGTGTTTGAAATTCGTCTTGCTGTAACCCGTTCATGCTGTCATCGTCAAAATCGCCGGAATCTTCACCGAAGTTGAAACCCGTTGAACTCGCTTCTGACTCATCAATTGAGCTAGCAATTTTCTTCAGCCACCATGGATCAGTCCTCCAATTTTCCTCCACTACAGCAATGTGAAAGCTCTTATTCTTCACTTTGAGAATGAAGTCTTCATTTATCGCCAATTTGGACTTGGTGGAGACTAACATTCTTGCTGCATCCAGGCATTCCTTAGAGAGTGTATACTCATCGATTGAAACCAGTTTACCCACCTGGTTACCGATTGTTGACAAACTTTCTTCAGACCAGGCATGTATGGGTAACCCCTGGATTCTCACCCACACAAATCTTTCCTCTGCGATGTCTGATGGAGCCCAGTACTTAATTCTATCAAAATAAGCTGTCACCCACTGTAAATTCCCATCTACCAGTTCCTTGACATGCTCCGGATCCTCATCATCGATTAAAACCAGATTACCTCCCATAGGGGCAATTTTGATTGAAGGAAA